CGAGCCTGTGGTTGAGCTCGCTCATTCCAGCAACCGTGGCTCTTTGCTGGAAGAGCATTTGTGTTTTCTGGGACTTTCTGGGGACTGCTGCCTCCTCCAGGTTGTCTTTCCCCCATGGAATACACCGTTTTTAGCTGCAAAGTCTGAGGGGAAGTATCTGGGATCCCTTCATGCCATGCCTCCAGAACCCAGACACTCCGTCTCTTCCAAGTGACACAGCATTCTTTGGGTCTGATTTCCCACGTTGCCCATGGTGATCTTGTTGGACACTTCAGAAAATTCTATTATCGAGTCTGCTGCTCTAGGGCTTACACCACTTAAAAGAAACTTCTATTTCCCAAGGTTGAGGTACACAGGAACTCCGGAAAGTCCCCTGACTCCTGAAAATGTGCTCGATTGAACCAACTCCTACTTGGATAGTCACGGCTACCTCGTCCCCATGTTGCTGTCCCCTGCTGTCGAAGGAGAAGCCACTAGTTACAGTGATAGGTAACATGTTGAGTGTTTACTCTGCTGGGTATGCTCTGAGCACCCCATTGACATATTACATATTGAATCCTTACGACACTGTATGAACTTGGCGACTATTGAGGTCCCGGTTTTGTAGATAAGGGAGTTGATGCACAGAGAGGGTGGGTAACTTGCCCGGAGTTACCCAGCTGCAGGTCAAAATTTGAACCTGGGTCCCCTGTTTTAAAATTCAGGACCCTGAACCACTTCTCTGCCTTTGCTGCAGTGTATCTGCCAGGCTGGGAACTTGATTTTACTCCTGAATCATTCTGCAGGGAATGTGGCATCATCACCCCTTTGTATTTTTGCAAAGGTGGAAGCCCACTTGAGGGTACTAGGCCTGGTACCTTCAAACCCCAGCTGCTGAGTGGGGTTTGAAGTCAGATCTGCCTAGCCCAGGAGCCTGTTGATAGCAGCTCTTTATGGATCCTGCCCCTGTCTTCGGAGTGGAAGCTGCTGGAACCCGCACCTGACTACCTTGCCCCACCCAGCTCCCCACTAAGGCGACTTTGTTCCAGCTCTTGGTCCTGCCAAAGGCCTTTTCCACAATTCTTGGACTTAGGGTGTGGAAAGTGACTTCAGACCCTATGGCCTTGTCGCAGTGTGGGTTTCTGCTCTGTACTGAGCGTCCACATTATGTGGTTGTGAAAAGTAAAACAGGACTTGTCAGGTGCTGTTAGTTTGCACATAGAAAGTGGTCATCACATAGCAGCTTTACTCCTGTTGTTAGTTTCCATGGTACTGTATTTGGGTAAGAATAGTCTAGATCACCCATTGTCATGAACCTTAACCAAGCACCCAACGTGATGGACTTTTGGGGACCCAAGGTGCATAACGTTTTGTGCATCTTTAAGGAGTTGTAAGCTAATTGTAAGAGACAAGTGGTTAATTATTGCATTCTGCAACTTGTTGAGGGGTGGGGAAATCCCGGAGGGCTTCCTGGACGATGTGCCTTTTCATCTGGGCCTGAATAAAAGAGTAGGGTTTTATCAGACTGGAAGTTGGGCGTGAATGTGAGAAAAGACACACTCTGACCATGAAACCCAACAATTCATGTATAGGGTCAAGATAGTGCAGTTAAAATCATTCCAGAGAATCTCAGGGAGGCCTCTGTTCAGAAGCTGCTGTCTCTGCAGTTGAGGCCAGGCAAAGGGGCTGCAAGCGTGTCATAAGGCTCGTGTGAGTGGGTGGTGACGTGCTCCCTCCCGCAGAGGCTTGGCAAAGCGGGGAGCAGGGGGGACTGAGCAGTCCAGGCACCCCGTGCTGAGCGCCCTGACAGTGGTGGTGGGGTGCCCTGCTGTGCACATGCGCTCTTGCAGAGCTCTCCTGCTGCTTAGGTCCAGTGCCAGTGGGTCACTGGTGTGAATCAGACATGTGTGTGCTGTCCTGCCCCCACACAGAAGGCTTGCGGATGGAGTGTAGTTTCTCCTATTCATAGGGGGTTGTGCTAGGGGTTGGGGGAGGGAGGATGAACAGGTGGAGCACCGGAGACTTGGTGGGCAGCAGGACTGTGTTGTGTGATTCTGTAACGGTGGTCACAGGTCAGTACGATGTCCGAACTCCTAGAGTGTACAATGCCAAGAGCCAACCCTGATAGTAACTTTGGGTGGTTCCAGCGCATCAGTGTAGGCTCCCCAGTCATAACAGATGCCCCGCTGTGGCGGGGATGGTGATGGTGGGGGAGGCTGTGCCTGTGTGGGGGCAGGGGGTGTGCGGAAAACCTCTGTACCTTCAAAACTGCTTTAAAAAATAGTCTGTCGAAGAAAAAAGTCTCACCTCTTCCAGCCTCCTGGCACCTCACTGCAAATGCGTACCTTTTCTTCTGTCCCTGTAAGAAGTTTAGACCAGTAGAGAACCCCAGTGGGAAGGTGGTTTTGTAGGAAAACTCGGGAAGCAAGCAGTCCTTGGAGGACAGGAGTGATTTCCGGGTTTGGGTCCACAGTCCATGGCTGCTGGCCACTGGTACTGGGCCTCTCTCTCTCTCTCTCTCTCTCTCTTTTTTTAAGGTTTTATTTATTCATTTGAGAGAGAGAGAGACAGAAAGCACAAGCAGGGGGGAGAGGTAGAGGGAGAAGCAGACTCCCTGCTGAGCTGGGAGCCCGATATGGGAATGGATCCCAGGATCCTGAGATCATGACCTGAGTCAAAGGCAGACGCTTAACCGACTGAGCCACCCAGGCGTCCCTGTGCTGGGCTTCTTGAAGAGAAAGGCCAACTAGATCTTATCCTGTACCACCCTCCCATCCCCCCGGGCTCCTCATGGCTGTGGTGTACTGGAAGAAATGACTGGGTTGTTTGTGTATGGCTCCCCCCACCCCCCGACATTTTCCAGTTAAAGTTGTACATGCTGAGTTCTTGTAAGTTATTTGCTGCAGGATGTAAGAGGTAGTGCTTTACCACAGTGCCTTCCCATCCCCTTTCTCCTCTGAACCTTCTGGCACCCCAGGGAGTTGGGAAGCAGGTGCTCTTTTTGCCTCTTGGATCCGAGGGAAAGGCTCAGAGGGGCTGAGACACTGGTATGAGCCCAAGAGCCAGGACCCTGCTTACCTGGTCACGTTCAGAAGGCAAAGTCCTCTAGATCCTGTTTCATAATAGGCATCCGTGAATGTGTATTGTCCGCTCAAGAAATCCTCCTTTAAAGACCTTCCTTCCTTAATTTGGGAGCCTGGCTGTGTTGTTGGGAAGGTACATTGTGCCCAGTGGGGTACTCTGCAGACACCTGCCGAGCCCGGCTGAGGCAGGCACACCCTTGGCAGCTGTACGTGCTTCGTGCTCTGGTTCCTGGCTTTCCTGGGCATGCAGGGCAGCTTGGTCCCCGTTGTCTTGTCAGGCCTGTGAGCTCTGCTTGAGCTCCTTCTGTCCTTCTCGGCCCTTGCCCCCAACCTGGCTCTTTCCTTTTCTAGCATCTTTTGTGGGAATGCTTTTTCTGCCTTTTTTTTTTTTCTACTGAATTTTTTTTTCTACTGAATTTTCAAACGTTGAGCAAGGTTGCAAAGATCCTGTGTGACTGGGGCGCCTGGGTGACTCAGTTGTTAAGCGTCTGCCTTCGGCTCACGTCATGATCCCAGGGTCCTGGGATCGAGCCCCACATCGGGCTCCCTGCTCGGCGGGAAGCCTGCTTCTCCCTCTCCCGCTCCCCCTGCTTGTGTTCCCTGTCTCGCTGTGTCTCTGCCAAATAAATAAAATCTTAAAAAAAAAAAAAAATCCTGTGTGACTCTGGTCTTGGAACATGTGCCGGGAACTGCACCCCCGCGGTCCTGGTTGTGGCCTCGTGACCTGGACATGCCTTGTTTCTGGATCTAGCACACGTGTGACCTGGGTCTCTTTCCCGGCCCTCCTGCCTTCTGTCAGGGCCGTGGGTCTTCATGGCGGTGTCACCCGGGAGTTTGAGAACTCGGTTTAGATCCTGGCTCTGACATGAGAGGTGTGAGGTTGTGTGACTTCCCCTGTCAGGGTGTGCTCTTCCTTTGTAAGATGCATTAATGTCCCTGTGAGGCGTCTGTGAAATCCAAGTTCCTCCATCTCTGCATGTGACCAGTAGCTGTTACTGTTTCCTGAGGTCCAATGCAGAGTTGAAAATTGGGAGATTTGGATTCAAATTCTAGCGCTGCCGGCATTTAATCTCCTTGAGCTCATGTGCACGCCCATAAAACAGCCTGTCGTGGTTGCCATGTGGCCCCGTGCGCTCACCAGTGGGTCATTTGGGCTGTGAGCTTTCTAGCGGCCAGTCCTGCAAGGGAAACAGAATTTCACAGGGTTTGTTGGGGGGCAGCGAGGAACAAAACTGGCTCTCCTGAGGAAATCCAGAAGTTCTGGGTCTTGAGATCTGAGTGATACGGTAAACGTTTTTAATAGGCGGATAGATTGTGAAAACAGTGAAGTTTGATGCAGATAGGGAAGTTGGATGCTTATTTAAAAGAGTGGCTTTCTATTACTGAATGCTTTCCTAAGTGGAAGATACCCAGAAGAGTAGCTCCTATAAGAGGGACTGTGTATAGGAGGGGCCCCACCCCTTTCCAGTATATACTAATGATAGAAGTCCGGGTAGGAAAAGCACATCTCTTAGGAAACTTGGGTAAGTATTTCTGTGTCCACCTGGAGCCAAATGCCACTTGATTGGCTTGCTCATCTCTTGATAAACAGCTGTAACTGGGAACAGATCATTGTTCAGAGCAGATGTTGTCCAGTAGCAGGGGTTTAGAAAAGCGTATAGAAGCTGCAAAGCTGTCCTTTTTTCCGTAGCAGTGGAGTATGCTGCCTAAGGAAACCCTCCACACTCCTCACTCTGCCCGGCATTCCCATTTCATGTGGCTAGTAAGTGATGAGCTGTGCCCACTGGGTCTTGGAGACTGCACAGGAATTAATTTTGAAAGGGAAAAGGGAACTTGTCTAGACAGCTTGCCCTAAATAGCGCATAATCCAGCTCGGTGAGGGGATGGTGAAACAGGCGGGATCTGCCGATTAACCTCGACTGTGCTTTCTTCCCTTAGGTGAACTGCGACAAGCCATTGTGGCCATGATGAACAGGAAGGATGAGCTGGAAGAAGAGAACAGGTATCCTGACTTTTCAGGCTTGAGGAGTTGCCTCTTGGACATTACAGCTCTGGGATGGAGAGTCTCAAAGATGAAGGAAATTTTGCTTTGACAGGATTGTGACCCATGATCTCTTCTTGTGTGGGATGTACCACTTGAGCGTTGGCAGGGATTGAAAACCCTCCAGTCATGGCTCTACCTTAGATCACACTAAGAATTTGGTAAAGCAATATTCTCAAACATCTTTTTTTAAGAAGGGACTTTGAGATACACTTCACACGTTATATAACTGACCCATTTCAAGGGTACGGTTCAGTGTTGGCAGACATATGCAACCATCACCAGGGCCCTCTAGAATGTTTTCACCACCTCGCAGAGACCCCCCCATACCTGTTAGCAGTCTTCCTCTGCCCCCCCCCCCCCCCCGCTGCCCGCCCAAAGCAGTCTTTGGAGTAACCTTTTATTTGAGGCCTTTTCTTACCATATTCCAAGCGCTCAAATTACTTAGTTTTCTCAAATCGGGGATACCTAGGGTAAGATGGTATTTGGCTTTTTTTTGACTTGTTCAGAAGAAGCCCAGTTGCAGAAAGTGAGCAGGTGAAGGGCTTTATTCGTTTTAGGTTCCCTGTTGAAAACAATGGTGGATACCTGCCCTGCGTTAGCCATGCTGCACCGTCTGGCTGCCTTGAATGTGAGCTTCTCGACTGGCTGGGGCGGTTGGTGGAGGGCTTTGCCTGCGGTTGTAGGCTAGGCTTCCGTGAGCCCCACTGTCCTGCCTCCCTGGGGGTTGGGGGACATGCGCACATGTGCCTGTGTGCAGGAATTAATTGTCCATGGTGACAGGCAATCATGATTGTCCTTTTTAAGCCTTATTTTGGGCCCTGCTTGACAAGCTTCTTCCTCATCCTTTATGGAAACACAGAAAAGCAAACAAGCCTGATTTCTAAAACAAAAGATAATTTTTTGAAAAAGGAATCTTGAGACAGCACAATTTTCCAACTAAAATAAACTTTAAATGAAGGGCTTGTAGCCATCACAGGATTCTTTTTCCTTGCTCCAGCTGGAGCTGTTCTCTTTGGCAGAAGCCATAGGTTCTGTCTCACCTTGTGAAGAACGACAGTCACTGTCTGTCAATTTCTCCCAACCAGCCGGGGCGGGGAGAAGATCACACCATGTTTGTGTCAGGGGGTTCCAGGCCCCAAGAAGGGAGTTTTCCAAAGCTCTAAAGGAACCTGGGCCTCCGAGTTGAGTGAGTGATAGGGGCCGGGGGTGGGGTGGGTGGGCTCTGCCAAGTTCACAGTCACACTTCTACCTCTATCCTGATGTCATCGGCACGTGTACACTAGATTAGGGGTGTAGGTGCCCCAGAGTCGGTAAATGATCTCCAGAACAAACCATTTGAGGTCCAGTGAAGTCAACGGTAAGTCAGAACCATGTTTGGCTCACTTCTCGGTGGCAACTAGTGGTTCTTTCTGGAAGATCTGCCGTCTTGTCTGCTTTCAAGACCAAGGGTGACCAGTGGATGTACTTCGGAGGGTTAACTCCCAAGTATGACACAGAACAGAATCCCTGCCGTGTGAAACCAGATAAGGCTTTAAAACACCACGTCTGCTTGTGTCACCTGGAGACGCCGGGGCAGGAGGCCGGTGTGTTCTGTGGGTAGAAGGGGAAATGAGAGGAGGCCTCTGTCCATATTCCACTGTTACTGCTCACAGGACCCAGGCGGCCCGTCCTGGCATCCCTGCCCTGGTTCAGTCTCTTCTCCAGCACAGCTGTGACAGAATGGTCTCCTTTCATGTGCTGCCCCTTGTGGTGGGATGCTTTGAAAGGGCTTGCCTTGGGGGTCTCTGAACTCCTTGTTTACCCGTCATTGGCGCTACTTGGGCTGTGGGGGGCACAGAGCCTGGGCCACATCCTGATTCTTACTCAGAGGCTCTTGAGCAGACATGGGTGTCTCTGTGAATCCCCTTACATGAGATAGGCTGGAATGAGGGTTGAAGCAGACCCTCATGGAAAATGAAGGGATGAGGACTTCGATGAATCCCTGTGTTGTGGCACGGTGGGCTCCGCGGGTGGTGCGTGAACACATGGCCCCTCTGCCCAGGTCTTTGCGGAACCTGCTGGACGGGGAGATGGAGCACTCAGCGGCCCTGCGGCAGGAGGTTGACACCTTGAAAAAGAAGGTGGCCGAGCAGGAAGAGCGGCACGTCCTGAAGGTCCAGGCGCTGGCAAGGTAGGGGGGAGCAGGGGGCACAACAAGCAGGCATGGGGGGGTGCGGGGGCTTTGTGCAAAGCCCAAGCACACCCTTCACCGGCGCTTACAACTAAACAACAACAAAGACCCGTGTAAATCTATGCATTTGAAGTTTTAATTGAACTTACTGGATAATTACTGCATAATATGTATGCATATGGCTCGAAATACAAAAGGTACACGTGGTAAACGATGCCATGGCCCTGGAGGCGGGCAGGCTAGCCGGTCCAGAGATGCTCCTTCACCTCCCGCTCCTGCCTGCCTTCCCCCTCCGTGAGAAACGGTCGTGTATTCCACACGCCCTCACTTGGCATCATAGAGATGGTTCTCTACTGGGGTATGTGGGGCCGCCCTCTTTCTAATCGTGGTCGCTCGTCGTCCGCACCAGCGTTGGTTTGATGACCAGGGTGCCCCCAGCCAGGCATCGGAGGTGGTTTGTGATGATCTGCTGAGGATGTTTGTGATGACGCCACAGTGCATAACCTTTGCATTCGTCGCTTTGTTCTCCTGAATTCGTTGGAAAAATTCCTGGAAGTAGAATTGCCGGGTCCAAGTGCAGTAGTTTTCGAAGGTTATTAGAGGTCAACACCTCCTCTGCCCGTTCCCTCAGCCCGTTACCCCCACCCCCCAACCTTAGAGGCTGTGCTAACGTGTGTCCCGCAGCAGCGGGTAAGAAGACCTGCTTCTGCCCAGCCGTGCCCGCAGCGGTCGGGCCCCACGTCTGGGTCCCGGATAACCTCACAGGCGAAAAGTGGCCCTGGCAAAATGGTTTTCATCTGCATCTTCCTCATGATGAATACAGTTAAGCCTGTTCTTACTAAAGAGCCATTTTATTTCCTTTCCTGTGATTTAGTTTGTATTTTATTAAAGAAAACTCACAATCTCAAGTCCCATAGAAATGTGGACTTCCCTGAATTTCTTCATACACAAACATTTTTACGTACTGCATTTAAAATCTGTAGCCTGTCATTTCTTAGTCTGCTTCTCCGAAGCACTTAGATTTCATGTTAATGGCTTTTACGTGCTCGGATGTCGCATTTCATTGAGCTAATGAACCACATGAAAATAATTTCCATTTGTTGGACATTTGAGTTCGAGTTTTTTCCTGTTTTAAGGTAGGATAAGCAGTTTATTGGTGGTTCTTTAAAGCTACTTTAAAATAAGACCAGGAAGGGCAGCTGGGTGGTTCAGTCAGTTAAGTGGCCATCTCTTGGTTTTGGCCCTGGTCATGATCTCTGGGTCATGAGATGGAGCCCCGTGTTGGGCTCCGCACTCAGTGGGGAGCCTGCTTGAGGTTCTCTCCCTCTGTCCCTCTCCTTGCTCGTGTGTGCTCTCTAAAAAATAAATCTCTAAAAAAACCCCAAAAACAAAAAACAAAACAAACCCAGGAACTGCAGTCCTGTGGATCTGCAGGGGTGTCCCGAGCGCCCATGTTCACAGCAGCGTTACTGTGCTGGTACTCCCCAGTGATATGTGTGTGGAACTACTGGATTTGTTACGTATATGTAGTCGAACGTTGGTGCAATGATCCCATATCTAGTTTTAATGAGAACTTCTCTGCTTTCTTCATACTTTGAAATGCCCTCTCAGGAACATCAGACAGTTGAAAGAGAGTAAGTACAGTCCCCGGCGTTTTCTCTAGTGGGCCACCGTTCAGCCTGGTGTGCCACGGTTCTGGGGTAGAATTGTGTGTGTTTACGATAAAGGCTGAAGTCTGCAGACAGTCTGGTTCTGAGTCACAGACTGCTATTCTCCGTCACTTTGGGATTGTGTTAGGAGGCTGCTTAGCCTTGAGTCCCTGCCCCGTTGCTTGCAGGTTGTTTCTGGGTGATGGCCGAACATGAGCAAGCGTGCATTTCTTTGTTGAGGAAATAGATGATCTTCTGCCCTAGAAAGGGCAAAATGAGAGCTGTATTGGAAAGGACATGGTGCTCTGGTTAGAAGCGGTTAAGTGTATTTTATAGGAAGTGTGTTTTAGTATATGATAATTCTGAGGAGAAGTTTAGCCCATGAAGGCAATAGAAAAAATTAATTTCTTAAGCAGCTTTTATAATCTGAAGTGTCCCCATTGGAACTGTGGGTAGCTAAGAGTGGAAGGTGCCTGAAGGTTTGCAGTCTGCAGGTAGAAGGAACATCCATGAAGGGGCACGTACTTGAGCAGGAGAACACAGGAAGGAAGCAAATGAAGCAGCTGGAGGTGTACGTTTTGATACTGCTGACCTGTTCCAGAGAGTTCCTGTGCCAGTTGTTGGAACTTTCTTCTTGCTCCTGGCCACAGAAGGAGTGCGGTCAGTGCTGCCAGATGGTGGACCTGCATGGGAGCCTGGGGTGCTGTTCATGACAGGGTCCAGGAAGGGTCACAGGCCGGAGGCGAGGCCCTTGTGTATGCCCCGGGGCTGTTCTGTTCTCACGTCCACTTGTGTTCAGGTGGCAGGTGTCACAGTGCAGGTGGTTCAGCTTAGTGGTCGGTGGCACGGATGCTACCATCGGACTCGGGGCGGGGGGGTGTCCAGTCATGGCTTCGCTACTGCTTAGTTGTGTGAGCCTGAGCAAATGACTCCTTCATTCCTTTAGCTGTAAGATGAGGATAAGAAAACCCTGGACTTCACTGTTGTTGCAGGATAAAATGGGAGTGTGTGTCAGCTCAGTAAATGTGCTTCATAAGTGCTCGATAAAGGTTAATGGTCATTATCCTTTTTCTTTAGTATAACAGTTATATTACTAAGAAACCTTATCTAATCAAAACCTAAATTTTAATGGCAATGGTGCAGAAAGAATTAAATGTTAGGCTATTTCAGACCCTAAAAAGTGAAATTATTTTTGCTGTAAGGATTGGAATACTCAGACTGTGTTAGTGTGTATGTGTGTTTTACTGGATTTGAGTGTTGTTGTAAAACTGAACCCTCCCGCCCCCCCAGAACAAATCCAGCATTTTCTCACGTACCTTTTTGCTCAAAATTCATGCCTTTCCTTTGGTGCAGTCATGGGGTACAGTCATGGCTCAACCAAGAACAAAGTCCTATAACCAGCCCAGTGCTTTTGTGGCCCCGAGCAGCTGCTCGATCCTGAGGTGAGGATATTTTAGTCTGGAGCAGTTCAGAGTGTGACTCTCATGGCTAAAAGGTTGCCCTATTTCCTACTGAATTAAGCAAACTGAAGCTATGAGACAGGGGTTCACAGAAGCAGACCCTTACGTACAAACTACCTTTCAGAGAAGCAAGTGACCAGGGTTGTTGGATTATTGCTGGCATGTTTTCTGTTTTTGCTCATTTTATTAGCTTTTTTTTCCTTTATAAAGATTTTATTTATTTCACAGAGAGCGAGACAGCGAGAGAGGGAACACAAGCAGGGGTGGTGGGAGAGGGAGAAGCAGGCTTCCTGCTGAGCAGGGAGCCCGATGCGGGGCTCGATCCTAGGACCCTGGGATCATGACCTGCGCCGAAGGCAGATGCTTAAAGACTGAGCCACCCAGGCATCCCTATTAGTTAGCTTTTAATGTGCAACACATTATTTCAGAACTTGGCAGTTTAAAACAAATGTTCATGATCTTCACAATTCTTGGGGGTTAGGAATCTGGGAATGGATCAGCTGGGTGGTTCTCAATCAGAGTTTATCATGAGGCTGCAGTCACCTGACAGCTTGGTAGGGACTGGAGCGTCACTTTTTTTTTTTTTTTTTTTTTTTAAGATTTATGTATTTGAGAGAGAGCACATGTGTGCACAAGAAGGGTACAGGGAGAAGGAGAAAATCCCAAGCAGACTCCCCGCTGAGCATTGAGCCTGATGCAGGGCTCAATTCCATGACCCCGAGATCACAACCCAAGCTGAAATCAAGAGTCAGATGCTCAACTGACTGAGCCATCCAGGTGCCCCTGGAAGGTCCACTTTCAACTCACTCGTTTGGCTCTTGGTAAGAGGCCTCTGTTCGCTGCCACGTGGGCCTCTAAAGTAGGGCTGCATGTAGCATAGCAGCTGGTTTCCTGGGGAGTGAGTAACCTAAGAGCAAGAGAATACACCACACAGAAGACATGGTCTTTCACAAGCTGATCTTGGGAATGAGACCCTATCAGTTTCCCTGTCTCCTGTTGTCACACAGATGAACCCTGATTTAGTGTAGGAGGGGTCTGCACATGGATGGGCCTTCCAAGAGGCAGAGATCACTGGGGGTCAGTTTAGAGCCTGTCTGCCGTGGCCACCAGGATTCTTTTTCTCCCTGGGGTGGACACTATCCCAATCTTTTTGGTTGGGTGGTTCTTCCTTCCTGTTCCGTGTGATTTGGTGGGACTGACTCTGTCACTGCCTACCTGGGCTCCAGAGCAGGGCAGGTGATACAGGCCTGGATAGTCAGCTTGTTCTGTTTCTTGATCATTGTGATTGGGTCACCGAAGGTATGCAGCCAAGTTGATTTGCTAAGAGGTGATTTTGGCCTTGAGAGGATAGGATGTAAGGCAGGCATTGTTGGTGGCAGTCTTTGCTGCTGTGTGGGAAGATCCTGACCTCAAATGGCAACAACACGGTGGAGAAACGAGGGTGGAGAGAGAAACAGGCAGTTCTAATTATATACCTTGAGCTCGTGGATCCAGTCTTTCTTGAAGCTGTTTTTCCTCTGGACTTAGCAGTCACATGAACTAATAAATTCCTTTTGTTACTTGAGTCAGTTTGTGACTGGTCTTCGCTGTTAAAATCCTGAGTCCTAACAAACCAGACTTCTTCGTTTGTAGAATAGGGGGTTGGAGGGAGTTGTGTTTCCTCTGTGCCTAAGTAGAATTGCTCCCTCAGCCATCAACCTGCCAAGTCCATGAAGAGATGTGCAGCTGGTCATGATTCGGGAAGAGGGTGACGAGCGTGTCCTGATGAGAACCCACTGGGTTGTTTCAGAGAGCCCCAGTGAAAGCCTTTTCATCCTGTCTCTTGTCAGGGCCAGCCTTACTATTACTGTGGGTCACAGCTTTATCTCCTGTGGGGGAGCGTGGGTGTGTAAGCAAGAACATACTGGTTGTGTGGTATAGCCATTTCCTTTACCCTCCTGAGCCTCTGGTTCCTCCTCTCTTGAAAATTTAAAAGGTAGGGGGTCTTTTCCGTATCTCCTGTGAGGTGACAAGAAGCAGAATGCAGTGTGGTGTGTCCTGGCGAGTGCTGGCTTGCAAGGCCTGTGTCTAACCCTTGGCTAAGGAGGTGGCACAGTGACTCTGGTCCTGGCTGGGCCACCTAGCAATTTCTCACATCATCCTTTCTCTGTCTGTGAACTGGTGCATAATAATCTGAACTAATACTAATAAACTTTTGGCTGTAGAAATCCAAACCAAATTAGCTTGGGTCCACAGGGGCATTTGGTGTCGGTGGGACTGGTCACTCTCTTCAGGTGTTATTGGACCTGGGTTCTCCAGTGAGGTCATTGCTTTCTCCCCTCGCTTTTGGGTCTGTGTTCATGTCCTTCTCGGGTAAGGCCTCTGCACATAGCAAAATGACCTCTGGTAGTGCCAAGCCACATTGTGCAGGATCCAAAGAGAAGAGACTTTCTCCTATTGTCCATATGTAACCTCTTAGACTCTTTACTGGGCATGTTGTGGCCAGGAGTGAACAGAAGGCCATGATGGACTGCCTCACCAGGTCTCCAAGGCAGGCAGTGGGCAAATAAATCGTGTTTGTGATACTTCCTCATAGGTTTGTGGGGAAGGGGACAGGAGCTAATGCTCCTAAAGTCCTCGGCAGATCTCCAGGCTCATCATCTGCTCGGTGGATGTTCCTGGATTTCTTCTTAGCTCGTGTATTGGCAATGGGTGGCTAGGGATGCTGAGGCCAGGCAAGAGCTCATGGGTCTGTCTCTTGTCCTTTCCCCTGCAGTGGGCATCTGGGAGCCTTTGGCCACTGGCCTTCACTTGACCTTCAGCTCCTCCCAGTGTTTTTTCCAGTCCTGTGTGTCCCTTTATTTGTCCCTTTTGGGCTGTTGCGTAGTTACCTGCCGTGGGTCCTGCATGTGAGATGGAACCGTACTGCGCAATCTGTAAGAGAAGGCTAAATAAGGCTCTCGGACACCCCACTCCCATCATTCTATCTGGCCCCCGAGACCTTCACTGGCTTTCCAGGGAGGCTTTAAATCTCAGTCTCTTCCTTTTGTTGTTTTTAAATTAGAAGTGTGAGGGGGTATGCTTTTAGTATAAAAGGACCATAAATGTCTTCAGTGTTCATCTAAAGTCATTGATGATGGTTTTCATCCCAAGAGTCCAATGGTCAGAGTTGAGAAGTTCAAACACGGGCTCTGTGTCCTCTTTTCTGTCTTGCCTTGGTTGGATCTTAAAGTCCAGTAATAATTTGACCTCCTTAGCAAGCACCAAATCTCATGGATGTGTAGTTTTCAGGCTCTAGAAGAGTCTGTATTCCTTTTTTAAAATAAAAATAATTGGGGGAGAAAATTTTGGGTAAGGTCCCCTTTATTGTACTGAAATGAAATGCATGGCTACTATGAGCTACCTGTAGAACTAATTATTAAATGACTGTGACACTCTAACTGCTATGAAGGAGAAAGAAAAGGAAAGGAATTGATAATAAAAAGTAGATTTCAATATATATTGGCTGGGTATGGCTTTGTGGTTAAGTGCTTGCACTACTTATAATGCATGAGTTTGGATTAAAGGCCATAAGAAGATCACAAGGCATTCTTTATAAGAACAAAAAATGAAAGAGCAGAGCGTGGTGGATTCTAGGGTAGAAACTAACACGTTGTGTGTATATTAAATGAACTAGATTGTAGTGTCAGACAAGAAACAAACTTTGCACCTAAGTGAAGGGTCCAGGACGATTGAAAGTACAATAGGATGTAGGTCACTCTTGGGTGTGGGACTGCCTTGGCCTTCAGGACAGCTAGTATCTCAGGCTCCAGGGGATAAATGCAAGCAGCACCCCATCATTCTGGTGATGGTCAAAAGCGTCTTCATACTTTGGTGTTGCTTAGACTTTGCCAAACATGAGTCACCGGGGGAGCTTTAGAAATGCCTATGGCCACAATCTCTAGGAGGCAGTGGTATTCCCAGTGAGAGTCCTTGCCTTAGCCCTTACGCAGTATTCTTACCTTGAGCACAATTTGCAGATATGCTGTCAGAATTGGGTGGGAGCCTTCTGACTCACTTTGAGTTGCTTTAGTTTCTGAGAGGCTTTGGCTAAGGACTAGACCCTGACTACAATGAATTGTCCGTTGAGCTCCCACTGTGTGTCCCAGCCTACTCTGCTGCTCCTGACCCTCACTTCCCCCTTGGATATGAAGCTTGCTTTCCCCAAGGTCACTGGCTCTTGCACTTGGCTGAGTTTCATTAGCTGAATGAGCTGTGCTCTTCCTCATCCTTCAGCACGTCCTTGTCAGCAGCTGACAGGTCCTTGATGACTTACACCAGAGCAGCCTTGGACAGTTGAGTGCATGGGGTGGGACAAGGAATAGAAGATGTATGCATCAGGGCAGGAGACAAGATGGCTTCGGGGCAGCTGGGTTCCTGAAGCTTAATGCTACTGAAATTCAGTGAAGGATGGTTCGTACTCGTGTGTTCATTTGTTGAGTCAGCCCACAAGCATCTATTCTGTGTTAAGCTTAGTCAATCAGATGAACAAGACAGAGCTGACTCGAACCTGTAGACCTGAAAATCGGGGGTGGGATATGTATAAACAAAGACTTTAACCTTTTGGCTGACAATTCCAGTTGAGTTGGTGCTTCTTGGAAGGAAGTTTAGGGTGATGGTATGGGGCAAGCCTTGGATTGGAGCCCTACTTCTCAAGGTCAGGACTAGGGTGAGGTGAGTAAGAAACTCATGCTGAGGGTCCTGCCAGTGCTTCTGCCACATTGAGATGTGGGATTTCTGGTGGTAATTATACCCCGAATACTTCTCACCTAGAAAACGGGGACAGTCGTCTCTCCCTTCTGGATGCTGTCAAAGAGATAACACATGAAAAGCGCTAGGCACAGTGAGTGCTCTGAGTAAGTACTTGGTAAAAGCCAGCCGTGGTTGTTACTGGTTTCATGGAAGTAAATTATTCCTCCATTCAAGCTTGCAAAGAGTCATTTTCTGGAGTAAATCTAGCCTGCTGTTGCTTAAGATGTAACTAACTTTCTAATAAAGAATTCTTTGGGTTGAAGAGCTAAATGGCTCACTTAGACTTGGCTATATATTACCAGGGGAGCTTTTAAAACTGTGTCCAAAAACAAAAAAAAAAAAACAAGACAAAACCAAAACCCCAGAAAACCAACTGTCCAGGGCCCCTCCAGACCAATTAAGTCCATCTCTGGAAGTGCAACCCGAACCGGTCCAGTGATGCGAGTGCTCAGCCAAGGTTGATGATTGGTGGTTTAGAGCAGCACTCCTCCAACTTGAATGTCTCCACCAGGAGCACTGGCGGTCATGGTGGGCTGCAGGCTCGGCTTCAGCAGCCCTGGGCAGGGCCTGTTAGCAGGTGTTTCTCGAAAGCTCCGGGTGATGCTGATGCCTCTGGTTCTGCAAGGATCTGCAAGGCGAAGTTCTCTGAAGCCACCTGGGCTTGGAGAAAGCGGACAGCGCTAGTAATTTTTCTTTCAGGGCCAAATTGGGAGTTAGTTTTGTATGCTAGTTTGAAAAACGGAGTACTCTGACCCACTGCAAGAATTAGCACCATTAACATTTGTCATTTTTGCTTTTGATGATATTTTTAAGATGTATTTAATTGCGATAGCACAGTGGGGAAGAGGGAGAGAGAAACTCAGGCTGAGCGCGGAGTGTGGGGCTCGGTCCCATGACCCTGAGATCAGACCTGAGCCAAAATCAAGAGTCAGACGCCTAACCAACTGTAGTATCCAGGCGCCCTGATAAAAAATACTTTTTTTTAAAAAGGTTTTATTTATTTTAGAGAGATGAGGGGGAGGAGCAGAGGGAGAGAGACCGTGTCTTAGGCAGACTCCACGCTGAGCACATAGCCTGACATAGGGCTCAATCTCCCGACCCTGAGATCAGGACCTGAGTTAAAATCCAGAGTTGGTCGCTGATCCGACTGTGCCACCCAGGTGCCCCTTTTGATGATCTTTTTAAGTTAACGATCAATACTGTGCAGGCTTGCTTTTGGTGAGTTTTGAAGGATCTGCATGTGTGGTATTAGCATGAGCCCATGATCCTGCAGGTTGATTTACTCACCTGACATTGAATTGGATGCTCTCATGTTCACATGCACACAAGTGGGATTCCAGGGCAGAATTCTGCCATGACTAGTCAGCTGGAGAGTTCCTGAAAAAGCTGTTGTTTCCATGCTGTTAAAAACAAAACAAAACAAAAAACCAAACAGCTTTAAGGTGTAAAAGCGACATAACCTGAAATGGAAAAGAGCATCCCAAATCTCCCAACCCTAGCATAATGATTATTTCCCCTTAGTCCATTTAAGTACAATTTTTACATAGTTCTGCCACCATCAGTGTGTGCATGCAATTTTTTTTACTAATGTTTTCTTGTGTTTCTATTTAGATTTCTAATTGTGTTTAGAGATCCTCCCCCACCCCAACCCCTCGGAATATAAAAATGTATGAATTATAATCCTTACATCTGAGAATAAGAGCAGTTTAAAGAAAAAAAATCCCCTGGACACGATTACCATTAATATGTTTTATTTATTATTTATGAGACATTTTATTCCAGTTCACTTTATGTATGTATTCATTTTACATAATTCAGATCATTCTGAATCTGTAAGTTGGTCTGCTTTGAAAAGCAGTTAGCATCCTACCGTGAATGTTTCCTCACATTATTCCCTTCTGTGGATATCCCTTTCAAAGGCTGTGTGGAATTCTGCGTTGGGTTGTGTCCTTGTTTCTCACACATTCTTCTCCACTCTTCTCTCCCCTCGTAGGAGTAGGATTTCATGAATATATTTTTTGGTACAGCTCTTTCTTTGTCCTTTTTTGTTTTAAAGTCCTTAGTCTAGATCTCTAGAAGCGGAATTCCCACATCAGAAGGCATCTGTAAAGCCGCGTCCAGGTGGCTCAGTCGTTAAGCGTCTGCCTTCGGCTCAGGTCATAGTCCCAGGGTCCTGGGATCGAGCCCCGCATCGGGCTCCCTGCTCAGCGGGGACCCTGCTTCTCTGTCTTCCTCTGCTAATCCCTCTGCTTTGTGCTCCCACTCTTGCTCTGTCAAATAAATAAATAAAATCTCAAAAAAAGGGGGGGATCTGTAAAGGCTCTTGATCTATATTGCCAAAATTCTTTCCAGGGCAGAGGTGTCACCGGATACCCCCATGGTGGTATGTGGAGGGCCTGCCTCTTTGTCCTTTCTGAAGGCTGTAAAGGACTCTACAGTGGACTTAGTGGTTGCCACACAGGTTCCTGTTTGGGCTGCTTCTACTTCTCTGAGATTGTAGTTGCAGGCTGAGATCGTATCCTTGTGTCTGTCACTTGTCCCCTATGCGAACATCTTTCCTTTGTACATATTGGCAGGAACAGGATCACAGGGCAAAGGATACGAATGCTTTAATGGCCCAAGTGAGGTGTTGCTCTGGTTCCAGGGTGAGGCAGGAAGGACCCCCCCACCCAACAGAGCTTGAGCCAGTTTCTTCACCCTTCATCACTGCTTGGCTCCTGCTTGGGGGAGTGTGGAAGGGATTTTCCAGCTGATTTTTCTTTAGGGAGTAGAGACGTGGGGATCCTCCCTCCCCCAGATAGAAAGATGGAAAAGCCAAATGTGTTAACATCTGAACTTAAAATTACAGAAGTACCTTCTCAGATACCATGAGAAGTGGAGAGCCATCTAAGTTCCTTCACGCCCCTTTCAGAACTGGGTGACGACCCATTCGAGTTTCCTAGATATTTTTTCTGTGTAGACATGGACAGGAAGAGAGGACCAGGAGCATCATGGCATCTGTTGCAGCAATCATGTACGAGGGAGAAAGCCATGTGCTTGTTTATTTTCTCTAATGCTTCTGGAATCCAATCAAAGACTCTGGTTTTGTTGATGAACTAAAATTCTTAGGGGGAGTAAGCAGCAAGGTATATTTGCATGAACAGCTGCATTTTGAAGCACGTGCCCACGTTGAATGGTTAAGCGTTAGAGCCATTAGTAGCTGGTGGCAGATGTTCCCTGCAAAATGTGCACCGAACGTGGATTACGGCGGTTCATCAAGATGCGAAAAATCTGCAGCTGCTGAGGGAACAGAGAGAAGGTTGTGTCTGAAACATCACTTCAGCCCATCCCTTTTCCCATCAGAGCACAGGAGCAGGAGAGAAAAAATTACCCAAACCAACAAATATGATAGAACTCTGATTAAATGGTTATGGTAATTATCCACAGTGGGGCAGGCGGGTGGGACGTGGTTACCATTCATTAATGCTCCATTTGCTGTTTTATTCTAATGAGAAGTAGGTAGAGCAGTCTGGAGGGGTAAATAAAAATAACAGAACGGTTTTGAGGGAAAACAGAAGACAGCAGAGCCAGGGAAGGGAGAAGAAGTGGAAGAGAGTGAGCACACCATCTAAAGTGAGCATTAGCATTTGTGCTACTTGAGAGAAGTGGTTGAAAAGAACCATTCGGACCTGGCTGATCCCCGAAGCTGGAGCCCCTTGCTCGGTTGAATGCCCTGGCTTTTCCTCTTTGCCTTGGGAGAGGCAGAACTTGCAACCTGGTGATTCGTAGAAAATTTTTTGAACCTTGCCTTTCCGGTACGGTTCACAAGGTGGCAATTTCCATGTCAGTGAACGTGAAGCCTGGGTCTTAAATAGAGCCAGCATGTGAGTGCCCTGCAGGCGGTGGCAAGGGCGATGACGTCACTGCCAAGCAACTTCTTGTTATTTTGGAGCCGGGGAGGGGAGCAACAGGAAGCTCAGCGGACGGGAGATATTCTTGGCAGCGGCAGAAGTACAGTTTAAAGAGAGACAACTGTCAAGTTGAGGGATTCTGGAAGTTGGCGAAGTTGAGTCGCTCACCGAGCAAATGAAAGTTCACGGTGTTTGTCCCGGGTGCCAGACACACCGTACAGACGTGTGAGATGCTCACCTGCCGTCACGTGGCTCCAAGGCCAAACACCATCACAAAAACATTTAAAGCCCAAGATCTGTTTCTTCATTTTTTTTTTTCAATTTAAAATCAATTAGCCGACATACAGTACATCATTAGTTTCAGAGGCGGAGTTTAGCAATTCATCAGTTCCTTATAACACCCAGCGCTCATCCCATCACGTGCCCTCCTTCATGCCCATCACCCAGTTTCCCCATCCCCCCACCCACCTCCCCTCCAGCAACCCTCAGTGTGTGTCCTGTAGTTAAGAGTCTCTCATGGTTTGTCTCCTTCTCTAATTTCTTCCTATTCCATTTTCCCTCCCTTCCCCTATGATCCTCTGTGCTGTTTCTTAGATTGCTCATATGAGTGAAACCATATGATAATTGTCTTTCTCTGACCGACTTACTTTGTTCAGCCTAATACCCTCTAATTCTATCCATGTCAATGTAAAAGGTAAGATTTCATCCTTTCTGATGGCTGAATAATATTCCATTGTATATATGAACCACATCTTCTTTATCCATTTGTCTGTCCGTGGACACCTGGGCTCTTTCTATAGTTTGGCTATTGTGGACATTGCTGCTATGAACTTGGAGGTGCAGGTGCCACTTGGGATCATTACATTTCTATTTTTGGGGTAAATGCCCCAAAATAGTAGTAGTGCAATTGCTGGATCCTAGGGTAGCTCTATTTTTAACTGTCTGAGGAGCCTCCATACTGTTTTCCAGAGCTGCTGCACCAGCTTGCATTCCCACCAACAGTGTGGGAGGGTTCCCTTTTCTCCACATCCTTGCCAACATTAGTTGTTTCCTGCCTTGTTAATTTTTGCCATCCTAACTGGTGTAAGGTGGTATCTCACTATGGTTTTGATGTGTATTTTCCTGATGCCGAGTGACGTGGAGCATTTTTTCATGTGTCTTTTGGCCATTTGGATGTCGTCTTTGCAGAAATGGCTGTTCATGTCTTCTGCCCATTTCTTGATCGGATTATTTGTTCTTTGGGTGTTGAGTTTGATAAGTTCTTTATAGATTTTAGATACTAGCCCTTTATCTGATATGTCATTTGCAAATATCTTCTCCCATTCCATAGGCTGCCTTTTAGTTCTGTTGACTGTTTCCTTTGCTGTGCTAAAGCTTTTTATCTTCTTTCTTGATTAAAACTCTCCACAGTGTAGGGATAAAGGGAACATACCTCAATATCCAGAAAGCCGTATGTGAAAAGCCCACGGTGAATATCCTTCTCAATGGGGAAAAACTGAGACAGGGAGGTCCCCTCTCACTACTGGTGTTCAGCATAGCACTGGAAGTCCTAGCCTCAGCAATCAGACAACAAAAAGAATTAAAAGGCATCTGAGTTAGCAAAAAGAAGGGCAAACTCTAAATTTTCGCAGATGACCTGGTACTCTATGTGGAAAACCCAAAAGACTCTATCCCAAAATTTCTAGAACTCACACGAATTAGACAGTGTGGCAGGATATAAAATCAATACACAGAAATAAGTTGCATTTCTATACACCAACGGTGAGAAGAAAGAGAAATTAAGGAATTGATCCCACTTAAAATTGCACCAAAACCCATAAGATACCTAGGAATAAACCTAACCAAAGATGTAAAGGATCTGTACTCTAAAAACTATAGAAAACTTATGAAAGAAATTGAGGAAGACAAAGACATGGAAAAACATTCCAAGCTCATGGATTGGAAGAATAAATATTGTTAAAATGTCTATGCTACCCAGAGCAATCTACGCATTCAGTGCAATCTCTATTAAAATACCATGAACAGTTTTCACAGAGCTGGAACGAATAATCCTAAAATTTGTATGGAACCAGAAAAGTCCCTGAATACCCAGAGAAATACTGAAAAAGAAAAGCAAAGCTGGTGGCATCACAATTCCGGACTTCAAGCTCTATGACAGAGCTGTCATCATCAAGACAGTATGGTACTGGCACAAAAACAGACACATAGATCATTGGAACAGAATAGAGAGCCCAGAAATGGACCCTCAACCCTATGGTCAACTAATCTTCAACAAAGCAGGAAAGAATGTCCAGTGGAAAAAAGACCGTCTCTTCAACAAATGGCGTTGGGAAAATTGGGCAGCCACATGCAGAAGAATGACCCTGGACCATTTCCTTACACCACACACAAAAATAGACTCAAAATGGATGAAAGACCTAACTGTGAGATGGGAATCCATCAAAATCCTTGAGGAGAACACAGGCAGCAACCTCTTCGACCTCAGATGCAGCAACTTCTTGGTAGACACGTCTTCAAAGGCAAGGGAAACAAAGGCAAAAATGAACTATTGGGACTTCATCACGAAGGACTGTTTCTTCAAACGTATTCTTTCTGAGGCGCTCCAGAGGTAGCCTCACTGAGCGTGGAGCTGTGCGGGCTGGGGTCTGGGGGCTGGGGGTCCCAGAATACCACCTACTGAGCTATAATAAAACCCCCTTGTGAACCAAGCTGCCCGAAAAGGCAATTTGAAAATGATCACCTAGGGTGGAAGAGGTTTGCCTTGGAGTCCAGTTCTGCCTTGTTTCTGCTCCATGGAACTGAATCCGCACAAGGCTTCTGCATCTCTTCCCCACAGTGGGGCTTCACCAGGAGCCAAGTTAATGGTGTCTTTTTAGATTTTGTTTTTCTCTTCATTGACTCCTCTTGTCTGTGAAATTTCCTAGTGCGATCTCTCCCTTTCCCACGTTCTCCGTCCCCCTTATTTGTTCTTTTTTCACTACTGCTGCCTTTTTTTTTTTTTTTTTAGGTTGCAAGCCTCACAAGGGCAGGGATCTTTGTCTCAATTGTTCACAAATCTGCCTCAGGGACCTGCATAATGCTTGGCATGTAGTAGAGCCCAGAAATGTCTTGAAAGAACAAATGCGCGTTGGGAAGTTATTTCTATGTTGTTGCTCTCCTGCGTTTGGCTTAGCTTACTAAGGTCCTTTCATGGTCTAAGAAGGCTGCTAGAGCCCCAGCCATCACATCTGCATTCTAGGCAGCAGAAAGGACAGAGCAGGGGAGGGGGAAAAAACTGTGTGTGTTGACTACCCCCCCCTTTTTTTAAAGGTTTTAATTATTTTAGAGAGCTCCAGTGGGGGGAGGGGCAGAGGGAGAGGGAGAGGGAGAGTGCGAAGCTCAAATCCCAAGCAGATTCCACACTCAGTGCAGAGCCCAACACGTGGGGCTCGATCTCACGACCCTGAGATCATGACCTGAGCCAAAACCGAGTCAGACGCTTAACCAACTGAGCCACCCAGGTACCCCTGTGCTGACTTCTTTTAAGGAGGTTACCCCCCATTAAACATTTTCTTACTTTTAAGTGGCCTGAACTTACTCTTTGAGGGATGCTGAGATTTTTTTCGTAGCGTACCTCCTCATCCTACACAGGACAGCAGAAGGGGAGAATTGATATTTTGGAAGGCAGACAGTGGTCTGTGCTCAGTGCCATGAATGTAGTCCTCTTTCTTGGGAAAAAGTCACTTTTGTTATATAGAATGTAAACAGGTTCAGTTTTGTGGTTATTGGCAGATTGGTATATTCACTTGCCCCCAAAAGCAGAATGGCTTTTTTTTTTTTAAGATTTATTTATTTTAGAGAGCGAGAGAGTGCATGTGAGTGGGAAGAGGGGCAGAGGGAGGGAGAAGGGAAGTAGACTCCCTGCTCAGCGGGGAGCCCAGTGTGGGGCTCAATCTCAGGACCCTGAGATCATAAGCTGAGCCAAAAATGGAGTCGGATGTTCAACTGACTGAGCCACCCAGGTACCCCAGAATGGGTTTTGAGTCAGAAAGACCATGGCTCAGATCTCCGTACTAAGCACCTCCTTAATACCGTAGCTGTGTGACGTTGGGCAAGTTGGTTTCCCTCTGAGCTTCAGTGTAAAACAGTCTATAAAAGGGGATAATAAAGGGCCTTTTCATACATGATGGTGAGGACTGAAGGGTATAATCCAGGTGAAGAAAGGTGGCAGGGTGTGGCATAGCAAGTTCATGGTTGGAGGCTGTTCTGTATCCTCCCATGATCTTGATCACCATCTTAGCCGGTGATGGTTTCCAGATGCCAGCGATCCAGGGATGACAAAGACATGGTCTCTGTGTTCTAGAAGCTCACAGAAGGGCGTGGTAGGCAGAAGAATCAGTGCAAGGGAGGAGAGGCATGATTCTGGGTGGTAGGTTGAGGAAGCTACAGGTAGCTTGGGATGGTGGCAGTCCAGTGTCCTGGAGTCCACAGTGTATTTGGGGAAGGACTAAGGAAGGTTCTCTGGAATAAGGACCTGGGGACAATTCCAAAGGCCCCAGTGAGGAGTTTGGCGCTGATTCTGTGACTGGTGGGGGACTAGCAAAGGCCCTGAAACAGGAGGGTACTTGGTGAGGTTTGTTCTGTGGGCCGTTCCTTCTCCCAGACGCTGTGGAGAGCTGGATGGCAGAAGGCGCGTCTTGGAGGAGTGAGTGTGGGCTGGGGCCATACAGGCAGGAGGTGGGGGCAGCCACATCTCCGTAGGGCAGGTGATTCCAGAGAGGAGATGCTGTCGTCAGGCTGTGGTGGGATCAACACTGAAGGGTATGAGACTGATTGCTTGGATTAGGGTCTGTCTGCCCGGCGGCCTTCGTTTCCTGGGGGCTGGGGGTGGGGATAAACAAGCTGTGAAGGAAGTACTTGCATGGCTCCCTGAGGCAGAGGGCCGTACCCAACCCGGGTCCTTGCCAGCACCAGTGTTTTCTCTGTGATGTTCACTTCATGGCTGAGCATCTTCCTTAGTGGCAGGGCTCTTGGCGAGGCAGGCAGCATGGAAACGGCAAAGCCCTGTGCCCCGTGGCGGTGACCCCCTGAAGCCCCCACTAACGAGCTCGTTACTGTGCAGTGATCGCGCCTTGAGGTTGGATGTGCGCGCCTGCATCCCTTTGTAATTACTGTGGTCTTAACATCAGCAGGCCCCAAGCCCACAAGGAGGAGGTTGTCCCTGGGTCACCGGGGCGGTCACAGCTTGTGGTTTGGGTTCATTTGTGCAGAGTGAGGGTAATCTGTTTTGACTCCTTTATCAGACTTGAAAATGGCTCCACTGGGCCTGAGATGTGGTCTTCTAGCAGATGGACGCTGTGATGTGGTGTCAGGGGACGCGACCTGGATTTCCTGCCCGGTTTGGTTGCTAATCAGATTGTGACCTTGGCTTTCAGAGGACCTCATCAGGCCAAGATAGCTCTGCCCTTCTCCGCCACATGGTGACAGAGTGAAACTTAGTATCTGTTTGCTCGTGTTTCTTACTTAACTGTCTGATTATGGTATTTTCCAAACACATAGAAGCAGTAGAAGAGTCTAACCCACCACCCAGCCTTAGCAGTTACTGACATTTTTGTCGCTCTGATTTTGCCCATCCCTCCACACTGTTTGCTGTTTTGCTGGAATTCTTCCGATGCTAGATGTTAGATCACCTGTAAAATTGGTTTTATGTGAATCTCTGACAGATCAGGACTTGTGAAAAAACCATATGCAATGCTGTTAATGACTTTAATACAATTAGCAACCATCTGTTGGTATTCTCTAGTTTCTAAACTCAAAGATACTTGGTTGTCTCAGATTCTTAGAGTGGCTTCGTTTGAATCTGTTTTGATTTTACTTTCAGAAGTATAGATCTGCCCCTGTCCTTTTCATGATTAAAACCCTGTGCACTGAGGGGGAGAAAAAAATGTTCACCCTTGACCATGGCCTGCCAGCCTTGCACGATCTGACCTGTGCCTGCCTGCCTGCCTCCCTCTGGGGATCTTTGCTGTTTCTTGTGCCTGGAACATTCTACCCCCAGGTCTTGGCACAGCTGCACCTCTGCCTGATCTCTGAAGGGAGGGCTGCCTTGTCTACGCAGTTTTCCCCTTCTCCTCCAGACCTCTTCTCTTAATCCCGTCAGGTTCTAAACTTATGAACACTGCCTGTTTTGGGACATTTCTTCATGTTCTGTTTGATGTCGACCTCCTTCCTTCCACTGACGGGTGTCTGTCACTGAGGACCGGGGCCAGGCCTGCCTGCCCGCTCCCATTTCCCTGGTGCTTGGCACCGAGCCGCTCAGCCAGTTCTTGTTACGTGAGTGGCCGATCGTATGGCCCAGCGCCTCTGCACGGCGTGGCCGGGAAGCCTGTAGCACTCGCCTCTTGTAGGGAGAAGGTCCATCTCTCTCTCTCTCTCTCTCTCTCTCTCATAATCAAAATGTTGGCACAGGTAGCTCAGGCCTTCAGAAGCAGCCATGCTAGTGATAGTTATTATTTATATAATAATACTCTGTAGATAACACATAGTAGAATCTTTCGTTTCTATCACTCCTTCCTGTTAAGAGGAGGTCCCAAATACATCTTTGAGTCCTCAGCTCCCACATAGAGTCCGGGAAACTGGTTAACAGACTGGGAAGTCCAGACTCCTGCAGGTGGGCCTCTCAAGGTTTTGTCTGCTGGTATCTGGAGAGGAGACAGTCTAGCCTGGTGGCTTGTGCCCTGGAGTTCAGAGGGGAGCTGTTTGGAAACCCTGTCCTTCCTTTGCCGCATAACCCTGAGTGCCTTGCTTCCCCGAACCTCAAGTTGCTCATGCATCTCCAGAATCTCCAAAGCAGCGGGCAGCAAGGCCTTCCTCGGTCTCTTCACTCACTGCTCGGAGACTGATGTCTGCTCACAGCAATGTTATTGGTGACTTTGTTGTTAGGCTGGGAAATGAACGAGCACACACCCCCAGGTCCCCGAACAGATGCTGCCTGTTAATTAGGGTTAAAATGTGGCTTAATGTCTTTTTTTCCTTTTTGTGTTTTTTGTGGATCGGGGACTGCTTGTTTGGTCTCCTACCAGCTCAGTTACCCCTCACAGCGGCCAGTGAGTCGGGTCCTGGGGTTCTCTCAGTTGACGGGATGGAGGTGCCTGGGTTAGGCAAGCTGCCCAGGGTCACACACATACACAAGAGGCTGGGCCCAAGGTCAGACACATACGTGGTGGACTGGGCTGAGGTTTGAACCTCTGTCTGCCTCCTTACCCTGTTGTCAGGTCCCCTTGACCTCCCTCTTCACGGTCCTCAGGATGGTATTAATACCGTGTGATGGTCCCAGTGTGTCTCTTTTGTGGTCTGTTTTTTGTTATTGTCCCAGCCCTGGCTGCTGGCAGTCCACGATAATGATGGTTGAAAAGGCGGCCACCTCCTGCGTTTTCTTAGTGCCAAAATAGCATCTGGTTCTGAACCTTCATCTTGTTGCCCCTTAATCTCCTGGCCGGTCTCCTTGTATGTATGGCACAGGCCGAAAGCGTCTGTCGCCTGCACCTGTGTATTCCTTTTCCCCAAATCTTCATGGGGAACTTGAGAATGCAGCCTTCTCAGAAGGTTCTGTGTAGCAAGACACTGTGACAGGAAGACAAATTGTGGAGCTTTTAAATTGAAGAAAAACAGGAGGCAATTTGTCTGATGTGTTCCAGTTCTGTTCTTTTTACCTTCTTCTAGTCTGAGTTATGGAGACAGTTTCCTCTCGCTTTGAAGGTTAAACTGCTGGGAGGTGTTTTATCAGGGAATGTTCTATTAAAGCATTAAGAACAATTAGACGTGGAGTCCTTTTTTATATTTTGCAGATTTTGACATCTAAGTTATTGGAAGCTTGGCTCTCTTTTGCTCTTCCTTAAAAGAATTCTGAAAACACTGGAATGAGATGTATTTTAGCGGGGGGAGTTTGGTAGCAGGCTTACTGTATTCTCCCAGAAGGAGAACAAATGTATACTTGTGGAAGTGGAGTCTGATCCCCCGGGCCTGAGGGGCTTTCATGGGGTAGCTGTGCCCTCTCCTCGGAGACCTTTCAGTTGGATCAGACTGGTCTTTTGTAGATACTGGCAGGCTTTTTTCCCAGCCCTGACTCTGGTTTATAATTATGTATTTGGGACCTCTTTGATGATGGTCTGTCTCCTACTGGACTCGGACACCCGCGAGAGAGGGGGTCCCGGTTTGGGCCTCCTCTCTGGCTGTTCAGGCCTGAAGCCCGCACCTAACACAGCAGATGATTGATATCTTGAGTATTTGAGGAGTGAATGAGTGTAGCTTGACTAAGACTTGCCTTCTTGCTTCCTGCTCCCCCACGCCCTCGCCCTTGGACCTGCGACACCCTCTGCCGGATGCCCCAGGCCTGTTGGTGCCATCTGATCACCCCTTCCCACTGCAAGCCCACTCTCCTGCCTTGGCAGCTGTGCCGAGCAGAAGAGTAAACTCCATCCCAGGAGGAAGTGAATGTGGTAGGAAGGCTTGTGACATTGTAATTATGTGCCTAGGACTGCTTGGAAATATTCTGTACGTTATATTGATAGAAAAATACTGTGTTAAGTCGGTGAATTCAGAAGAACACAGAATTTAGCAAGCCTTTGGGAGGAACAGCTAACAAGAAGAGTTCCTGAATGTTTA